CCTTGTCATCTAATAGTCCATGTTTTTTTCTGCGTATTCACAAAATTTTTATTGGGAGACAAAAAAAATAAACATCCTGCATTAAAGAATACACTGCTTATATTTCAATATCATTTGTGCATTTCATTCATTTAACTCATTACTGTTTTCCATTAGTGATTAGGAAACAGAAACTATATATAACACAGAATGTAAAAGTATGAATAATGTCATTGTTAAATACAACATTATAAAATTTTTGGAGTCAAATCAAGTGTAAACTCTTTGTACGTGTCTCCAAGAAGATAATAATACAGAGCTACTAAAAATTAAGGTAGAAGATATGAGTAGTTTTATACTGAAATCCTCCCATAGCTAAGATTTATGTTGGTCAGAATAAGAGTACAGATTTTAAATCTCTATTCAATTCCATTCTCTTTTCTTTCCTTTGTCTATCATGAATTCTTTTACCAGAAAGCTGAGGCAATGTCTGTCCCCTGCTAGTCTAGTCAAGATACTCGTTTTTTACACCATTCATTTTTATGATTATAAATGTAATATATTTTCAGTGAACAAAGAATCATAAAACAAAGAAGCAAAAAGTAACCCAAGAAAAAAATCCAAGATCTAAATACAACTGGATTCTGATGAATAGTGAACATGTATGTACATGTGTATAAATGTATATGTATTGACACATGGCAAATTATGAAAATAATTTAGAATTTTTAATTGCCTCTGCAGAAATAGAAAATTCTGTGTGGATATATCAAATAAACAACATATCAAAGATATTAATATATAAACAAAAATGTAATATATGATTAAAAATGGTTATGTATTTATGTACATTGCTTCACAAATAATGTTTATCATAGCTCTAAGATACCATTGAAAGAATGAAAATTGCTTTCAACAAGTTTATTAATAAAGACCCCAAACCTGAAATATTTACTTAAATAAAGAGGAAAGCCAATCTTCAAAGACTTGTAGCTAACTTATTAAAATGCTTAACTAGTCTTGTTGCGGTGACTCATGCCTGTAATCCAAACACTTTGGGAGACCAAGGTGGGAAGATCTCTTGAGGCCAGAAGTTCAAGACCAGCCTGGCCAACATGGGGAAACCCAGTTTTTACTAAAAGTACAAAAAATTAGCCAGGCATGGTAGTGCATGTCTGTAATCCCAGCTACTCTGGAGGGTAAGACAGGAGAATCACTTGCACCCTGGAGGTGGAGGCTGCAGTGAACCAAGATCACGCCACTGTACTCCAGCCTGGGAAACAGATCCTATCTTAAAAAAAAAATCCCCCTAAAAATATTTTAATTTATTTATTTATTCGCATCTAAAATACAAACATTAACTTATTTCTAAAATAACCTGACTTTAAACTACACTACAAGGCTAGAGAAATCAAAACAGCATGGTACTTGTACCAAAACAGAGATATAGACCAATGGAACAGAAAAGAGGCCTTGGAAGTAATGCCACACAACTACAACCATCTTATCTTTGATGAACTTGACACAAACAAGCAACGGGGAAATAATTCCCTGTTTAATAAATGGTTTTGAGAAAACTGGCTAGCCATATGCAGAAAGCTGAAACTGGACTCCTTTCTTTCACCTTATACAAAAATTAACTTTAGTTGGATTAAAGATTTAAACATAAGGCCTAACACCATAAAAACCCTAGAAGAAAACCTAGGCAATACCATTCAGGACATAGGCATAGGCAAGGACTTCATGACTAAAACAGCAAAAGCATTGGCAACAAAAGACAAAATAGACAAATGGGATCTAATTAAACTTAAGAGATTCTGCACAGCAAAAGAAACAATCATTAGAGTGAATCAGCAACCAACAGAATGGGAAAAAATTTTTGCAAACTACCCATCTGACAAAGCACTAATAAGCAGAATCTACATAGAACTTACACAAATCTACAAGAAAACAAGCAAACAACCCCATCGAAAAGTGGGAAAAGGATATGAAAAGACATTTATGTGTCCAACAAACATTTGAAAAAAGTGCTCATCTTCACTGGTCATTAGAGGATCACAAATCAAAACTACATTGAGATACCATCTCATGCAGGTTAGAATGGTGATCATTAAAAAATCTGGAGACAACAGAAGCTGGAGAGGATGTGGAGAAATAGAAACACTTTTACACTGTTGGTGGGAGTGTAAATTAATTCAACCATTGTGGAAGACAGTGTGGCAATTCCTCAAGGATCTAGAAATAGAAATGTCATTTGACCCAGCAATCCCATTACTGGGTATATACCCAAAGGATTATAAATTGTTCTATTATGAAGACACATCCACATGTATGTTAATTGCAGCACTGTTTACAATAGCAAAGACTTGGAACCAACCCAAATTCCCATCAATGATAAACTGAATAAAGAAAATGTGGCACATATACACCGTGAAATAGTATGCAGCCACAAAAAAAGGATGAGTTCCTGTCGTTTGCAAGGACATGGATGAAGCTGGAAACCATCATTCTCAGCAAACTGACTTAGGAACTGAAAACCAAACGCCACGTGTTCTCACTCATAAGTGGATGTTGATCAATGAGAACACTTGGACACAGGGAGGGGAACATCACAGACCGGGGCCTGTTGGGGTGGGTCTAGGGGAGGGATAGCAGAAAGTAGAAGGATTGGAGAGAGATAACATTAGGAGAAATACCTAATATAGATGATGGGGGATGGATGCAGCAAACCACCATGACATGTGTATACCTATGTAACAATCCTGCAGGATCTGCACATGTACCCCAGAACTTAATGTATAATAAAAATATATATATATAATAAAATAAATAAATAAATATTTAAGTCTTGTTTTGTGGCCCAACTTATGGTGTATATTAGAGAGTATAACTTGTGTGGTTGAGAAGGATGCTTATTCTACTGCTGTCAAATGGAATGTTCTATATATATCTGCTACGCCCATTTGATCTAACATATAGTTCAAGTCCAATGTTTTTATTGATTTGTGGAGAGATTTTCTATCCAGTTTTGAATGTGGGGTATTGAAGTCCCCTACCATTATTGTATTGCTGTCTATTTCTTCCATTAGTTGTATTAATGTTTACTTTATAAGTTCCATTGCTCCTATGGTGAGTGCATGTATAGTGACAATAGTTATAATCTCTTGGCGAATTGACTCCTTTATCACTATATAATGACCTTTCGTTGTTTCTTTTTACAGACTTGACTTAAAATTCTATTTTAGTTAATTGTTAGTATAGCCACCCTGCTTTCTTTCGGTTTTCATTTACATGGAATATATTTGTTTATCCCTATGCTGTGCTATGATCTGAATAGTAGTGTCCCTCCAAAATTCATATGTTACATCCTGATCACTACGGTGATAGTATCAGAAAGTGAGGCCTTTTTAGGTGATTAGGCCATGAGGATTCCACTCTCACAGATTGCATTAGTCTTTTTACAAAGAAGCCTCATGGAACTCCCTTGTGCCTTCCAGATTGTAAGAATATAGTGGGAAGGCACCATCTACATAACAGGGAGCAAGTTCTTCCAAGACATTAAATCAGTTGGCATCTTAATCTTGGAAATCTCAGCCTCTAAAACTGCATGAAATAATTTCTAATTTCATAAACTAGCCAGTTTGTGATAATTTCTTATAGTGGCCCAAATACAGTAAAACAATTTAGGAATAAATGTATATTCTTAAATGTTAACATTATCACAAACATAACTTGGTAATTATTAACAAATGTCCTTTAAATTGTGAAACCTGGCTTTCCTCAACTCAACCAATTTATCTAAATCAGGATCACTAAGAAGGAGACAATCTGAGTATATAAGCCTCTGGATTTTATAAAAGGAGAAGTAATAAGGTATTATTAAATAATATTTTCATCATATTATTGATAAGAAAAAACAAATTGATGACAAATAATAAATACTGATTGCAAATCATAAATTCTCTTTATAATTAATTAAAATTATTTTGGATGCTATATTCACATCTTGTAGAAGTATCTACATTTCATCATTTTTAGTGCATTTATGTATTGACAAGTAGTAATTACATCATTACTAAAATAAGACTTGGCTTGGTTTTTACATAATGACTTCACCTTCTTTAGTAGTGTAAAATTTTCCTAGTCAAAAACAATTTTCACTAACAATCCTGGTTAAAATGAATGACTATAAATATTGCATTTCAGAACTTTGTTACTGAAATTTCCAAAACTCTTCTACTCCAAAAATAGTTAAAAAGTTATCTGATGTTAAGAACATTACTGATGACATCTTTACCATTCTCAACATGTACCACCTTGGTCATTAGATATCATTATTGTAAAATAAATTTTGCTTGAGGTTCAAATGTGATAGATGTTAAAGGTAGAAAAGTCAGAGAATACTGATACATACAAAGGTTTTGAACTACAACTTTCACCCCTATTATCTCTAGGAATTGAACTACAACTTTTACCCCTATTATCTCTAAACACATATATAAAATTTTACCTGTACTTTTAAATTTTCTAGCAATATTTTTGCTATAAACATTAATTCAGAGCAAAACTATCATGTTTATGCGTTTGCAGGTGAGTGTATGCATGTGTATAACCGATACTGTATTTTTATTTTTCATATGTCTATGTCGTAATAGTTATATAACCAATTACATATTAAATCCTCTTGATGATTTGTTTGTATTATTATGTGTGCTAGATTGATACCTTGTAGAAGTAACTCCATTTCATCATTTTGATGCATTTATGTATTAATAAGTAGTAATTACTTGTATCTTATTACTAACATAAGTTAAGACTTGGTGAAGTTTCTGCATCTTTGTAAAGTGATATAATTTTGAAATCAGACACAATATGTTTTCCATTTACTGTAAAACAATGAGCCTCAGCAGTTGTGGAGAAAGCTTTGAGAGATTTAAGAGTCACGGACAGAAATGAAGTCTGAAAAAAATTGTATCTAATTTCTTGTCATACAAATTTCATGAACTGGACACAACAGTTTATTTGCCAAGTTTTAATATGGAGCTTTTAAGAAGAGGGCCATGGGTCTCAGATTATAAGTACATTTTCACAAATCAACCCAAAATTTTACTTATGAATAAAAAGGAATAAAGCAATACTTAAAAATGAAATTGAGAACCGATTTAATAATACTATTCTAAATAAAAGTGTGGATTTGAATTCTGACTGTTTTTTACACAAATGGGATACTCCAGTTTCCCATCCTGACATGTTCTTCGAAAATATTGAGAACCTGGTGAAGGATGATATCCATGTTTACATATAAATTCAACTGGTTCACCTGATCTTACGTAAAGTTTTGCTTCAGCGGTCCACTTAAACGTTAAGTTATATTTTCTCATAACTTCTTGTGATATTACACATGGATCTGAAAATAGAAAACAATGAACATAAAGCATTGACTAGTATACAAATTTTCATAGACTTCCAGATTTTCAAGTAGAATGTTACATGATGGTTCAGGAATTATTTCTCAAAATAATATCTAAACCTACTATGTAAAAACAACATATTGATTTAAATAAAGTTAAAATGGTAAATGACGTGAAAATGAGGTACTATGTTTTATGTATGAGAATTAGGGTTTTTAAATCAATGGTTCATTATGTCAATTGTCATTTTAGGATCCCTGCATTTTAGAACTTATCATTGCTTTTTCTCTTTAATTAAGATATTGGTCAAAGAGTACAAATTTTCAGCTATGCTATGAATAAGAACTTGGAATCAAACATAGAGATCTAGTGATATTTATAGCTAATAGTATTGTATTATTTATTTGAAAATTGGTAAGAAAGCAGATTTTAAGTATTCTCACCACAAACTCACACACATATAACTCACACACCCACCTACACACAATGGTAATCATAGGTGATAAGAAATGTGCTAATTAATTTGTTTGTGGTGATCATTGTACTACAAATATATCAAAAGAGCATATTGTCAAACATGAAAATATATTACTTTTATTTATTAACTAAATGTTTAAAAATAACATATAAAGAGAAAGAAAAAATTTTCTTGACTTTCTAACATAAATATTTGGTAGGCAAGCATTCAGCAGAATAGTTGTTCAGTAATCTGTGATTATTCTGTTACAAACAGCAAACTATCAGACTCATCACACTGATTTTTCCAGTATTCCATGGGTATATTAAAGGACTTACGTAGGCATTTTGGTGGTTCTGACCATCGTCCATTTCTACATGTTATTCGCTTGTTACCCTCAAGTTCATACAAGTTCTGGCATTGATACTCAACTGATGAACCTGGAGCATATACTGACAGTGGGAATGAAGTAGTCTCTCCATTGACAGTAGGTGGAGGGGGCCCACATTCTCCTGTAGAATCGAAAAAACATCATTTCATCACTTGATTTCTTGGGAGAGTAAATCAAAATACAAATTTAAATAAGGCAAATATAAACACATCACTTTATATAATATCAATCAGTGTCGTGATTTTGGGGGAAAGAAATGATTCCTGGAAGAAATTTTTATCTTACAAACTGAAAGTAATATATTTAAGTTCTTTTTTCCTTACTGAAGAAACACATGAAACATTAACAAATATTTCTGCCTATAGTAGTCCAGGAATACGAAATGTCTTTCTGAATGGATACATGGTAAACACAGAAAACTAGGACAAAGAAAGTTTCTTATTTTATATTCAACATTCTTTGAAGTGACACTAAGAGGGCAGAGATTTTGAAATCAATGATGGATTTTAAAACCTGCATGACCTGCACATGTACCCCATAATTTAAAGTATAATTAAAAAAAAGACCCCGGAAGACATTATAAAAGGAAAAGTATGACAAATTTTTTAAAACATCGGATAGGCTTAGTAATACATTGGGAGAGGACAAATCCATGAACTTGAATATAGAGCAATATAAATTACCACTCTGAAAATAGACTGAAAACAAAAATCTCAACTGAGAACTTTAGCAAAATACAACAATAATAAATAATGCTGATCCAGAAAGAGAAGGGAAAGGGCAATCAGCTGGAAAAATAAATAAATAAAACAATGACTGAAAATCTCCCACTTTGGCCATAGGCATAAACTTACATATTTAAGAAGCTGAGTGAACTCCAAAGAGAATAAACACATTGTGATTTATACCAATAGACATTAAAATAACACTACTTAAAGAAAAAGAAAAAAAATCTTGATAGTAACTAGACAAAAAACTATGCCTTTCCTCTAGGAGATCAACAAATCCAATGCTAGTGAGTTTTTCATCTATAACCATGTGGTACAGTTTTCAAGTGTTAAAAGAACTTTCAATTCCAAATTTTATAACCAGTGATACTATCCTTTACAAGTAAAGGGGCAAATATAGACATGCTCAAAGAACCGGAAACCAAGAGAATTTTTGTCCAGTAGACCTGTGCTTAAAGAATAACTAAAGGAATTCTTCAAATTAAAATAAAGAGATAGCAGAAAGAGCTTGAGACTTTAGGCGACAGAAACGACAATATAATGAATGAAAAGAGGAGTCAATATAACCTGCTCTTTTCTCTTAAGTTTGTTAAATTATGGTTTAATATGGTGCTCAATGTATGTACAGAAAATACTGATGGCCTTTGTCTTTAATATGTGGAGAGGATAAATGGATCTAAATAAAAGTAAGATTTTCGTATCCCAATAGAAGATGGAGATGTCTGTACCAGTAGACAGTGATATGTTATTACATGCACATAGTAGTACCTAGAGCCACAACATTTTTAAAGGAGGAGAAAAGCTATACAAAGAGATTCAATCACAAAGGATACATATGAATCAAAATTAATTAACGTTATTAAAAATTTTTCCTAAGGGGAATGGAGGAACAGGAAAATAGGACTGAAACCAGAGGAAACAAACAGAAATGAATAAATGGCAGAGGTTTAAGTCTTATATATCAATAATTATTTTAAGTGTAAATGGTCCAAGTGCACCAGTTAAAAGGGCAGGAGAGGCAGAAAGAGCCAGGCGAGGTGGCTCAAGCCTGTAATCCCAGCACTTTGGGAGGCTGAGGGAGGAGGATCATGAGGTCAGGAGATGAAAACCATCCTGGCCAACATGGTGAAACCCCGTCTACTAAAAATACAGAAATGGTGGCATGCACATGTATTCCCAGCTACTTGGGAGGCTGAGGCAGGAGAATCACTTGAACCCAGGAAGCCAAGATTGCAGTGAGCCAATATCGCGCCACTGCACTCTAGCCTGGCCATAGAGCAAGACTCCATCAAAAAATAAAATAAAATTTCAAAAAATAAACATAAAAATAAACCAGACCCAGAAAGGCAGAATGCATATATGCTGTCTACCAAAACTCACTTCAATATAAAACATAGTTAGATTCTAAGTAAAATAGTGAAAAAAGTCAGACAAACATTAATTTTAAAAAATGGAGGTCGATAAGATACAATTTCCTTTGTTGGTTTCCCTTACTGCTTCTCTGTATATTAGAATGATCCGGGATTATGTGCTCAGACTTCTCTTTATAAATACAGTAGCTCCCTGGATGAGTTCAGTTAGTTACATACCTTTGAATATAATCTGTATACTGAAGATACCCACATTTATATCACAGTCTATGATCTCTCTTCAACTACCCATTCCACATCTTAGAGTGGACATGTCTTATGTCTGTCAAATGCACATAATGTGGTTTTTATTACATGTATTCCTCAGAAGGAACTGAGTGTTGTAAAGCTTAAGATACATTATTTTTCAAGCTCCAACTCTTCTTCTATTTAGTCAAGTATTTTTGAAAATAATATATCATGTTACTTGTGTTCCATTCACAAGAATAATTGAATTTTAAGCATCATCAATCATTTCATTTGCATTTGAAAAATATATTACACAAAAATTACTTTATTTTATGTAAATCAACATATTTTAACCCTGCTGTACTCTCCAAAAATGTTAAGGGAAATATAATACTCTACCTTTGCACTGAGGTGCTTCTGTCCAGTTTCCATTTACACACATCACTTCTGCATCCCCAAACATTTCATAAGGTCTCCTACATTCATAGTATACTTTATCACCAGATAAATATCTATACTTCTGTCTTTGCCTCATATAAGCATTTTGTACTCTGGGCGGATTCACACAAGAACTGTCTGAATAGAAAGAAAAGAAGTAATTTCACCTAGTGTTCATTTTGAGTAGTAAACCAAAACAATACAGATATATTTCAAAATGAATTTAAAACAAATAGGCAATCTGTTATCAAATTTGTGTTGATGTTAATACATTTAAATGTAATACTGAGAAAAAAACATAAAACAAATTTTTTATAAGGTACAAGCTTTTATATTTTAAATTTCTTCATCCTTTGCTAGGACACTGATAGACCTTTTTATTTTTTCCTTCTGGAAGCCAGTATAAATGGAAGCTTTCCTGGATATCTCTCTTTGAGTTTGAGTAGCATAAATATTACCAGTTCAAGTATTTAACATTAATTTATAAAATGCAAAAAATAACATAAATAGATTATGTGGCATCAGATTTGGGTTGGCAATCATCCTGCTTATACATTTTATCCCCTTAAAAAATAAACACAAACAGGCATTTTCTTAGCGAATCAGCAAAGAGTTAAAAACCATTTTTGAAAATTACCCAAGTTAGAAGAAGAATGGATAAACAAAGCATCCAAATTGGAGATGTGGAAAAATAAGAGAAAATAAGTCTAAAATAATAAAAATAACTTCAGATAATTTAATTGCCAATGTTTAAGGATACTATGCTGAACAATGCAAAATTAATCAGACAGTTTCATGTCCATGTTTAATAAAAATAGTATAGTAATAATTAGTATTTATTTAGTAATATTTAGTAATAATGAGAAGACTGAGAATGTACATAGCAATGCTTCTCACAGACGTGTGCATAGAATTCCCTGGAGGGGTTGGTAGACCAGTTTCAGGGTCCTATTTCAAGACTTTTGATTCTGTATGTTTAGAATGAGCTTATGAAATTCAATTTTCATTTCCAGCAATCTCCTAGAAGATGATGACACTGCTGGTTTAGGGACCACACTTTGAGAACTATTGGGCTAAGATTAACAATCAAATAGTTATTTTTGAGAATATATCTATTTAGGCTAAGATTAGAACTATTGGGCTAAGAATAACAATCAAATAGCTCCTTTTTTATTTTTAGGGATATATCTATTTTGTCCTGCCCTAAAAACTTAATTTATGTTCATTTTAAATGATGTTGGAGACAATTCTATATTTTATTGCCTAAGACACTTTATATAAATAAATTTTACTTATCTATTTATTTATTTTATCTTTTTTTAGACAGAATGTCACTGTGTCACCCTGGTTGGAGTGTAGTTATGTGATCTCGGCTCACTTCAACCTTCATCTCGCTGGTTCAAACATTCTCCTGCCTCAGTCTCCCCAGTAGCTGGGACTACAGACACAAGCCACCATGCCCCACTACATTTTTTTGTATTTTTAGTAGAGATGGGGTTTTACCATGGAGGCCAGACTGGTCTCAAACTGCAGACCTGAAGTGATCCACCCACCTTGGTCCCCCGAAGTGCTGGGATTACAGGCAGGTGCCACTGAGCAGGGACCACACTTTATATAAAGACATTTAAAAAATTCATCAAATACCTCTGCACGTTGGCCTTCCCGTCCATCTCCTATTAATACATGTTACAGTACTGGGTCCGTCCATTTGGTAATATGGCGCACAAGTGTAAGTCACCTGCTCACCCGACCTATAGGAATTCTTCCTCTCTCCCTCGGGTCTGGCATTTTCAAAGCTCGGTAAACCAAGACAATCCATTCCTGAAATAGGAAAAATAAGTATTTGTTCAGCAAATCTCTAAAAACAGGTTACATACAATGTATATAATATATTCTAAAATAATAGTGCAATATAGAATGAATTAATACTGGGTAATATTTTTCTCATAACTTGACAAAATATGTGAGCCATTTTGACTTAATTGAATTGTTCTAAATCTATTAAAAACACAAGATAGGAATGATATTAGAAACCTGAAGAGATACTGGTAACCACAGCACTTGTGAATACACAATTTATGTTTACATTATTTTTTCCCATCCTTGTTGCTTGATATGGTTAGGATTTGTGTTCCCACCCAAATCTCATCTTGAATTATAATCCTCAGGTGTTGAGAGAGAGAACTGGTGGGAGGTGATTGGATCATGGAGGCAGTTTCCTTTATGTAACAAGATCTGATGGTTTTATAAATATTTGGAAGTTCCTCTTTTGCTCACTCCTGTGTCTCCTGCCACCTTGTGAAGAAGGTGCCTGCTTCTCCTCTGCCATAATTGTAAGTTTCATGATACCTCCTCAGCTATGTGGAACTATGAGTTAATTAAAACTATTTCTTTTATAAATTACCCAGTATTGGGAAGTTTTTTATAGCAATGTGAGAAAACAGTAACACACCACCTAGATTGTTTATTTCTGAATTTTTTGCTTTCGTCCAATGTGAATTATCTATAATAATCTTTTTAACATTTTAGAAAATATACTTATAGGGAGATTGTTGATAAACTGACAGAAGATTGAATAATGATGACATTTATGAATAGAGGACAGCTGCATGCTAAGAACAGAGATGAGAAGTCTGAGGATGTACATCAGAGGATGCTGAAAGTTCACACAAGATGATGTGAAAATGAAGCAATTTGGCTTATCATGTCAAACATTTTAATTACTAGAGCTATAATTTCCCACAACACTCCAGAATATTCAAGAAAACCTTGTGAAATTCTAGAGTCACTGCTTTCTTTATTATTGGTACCACCTATACTTTACAATAGCAAAGACCTGGAACCAACCCAAATGCCCATCGATGACAGACTGGACAAGGAAAATGTGGCATATATACGCCATGGAATACTATGCAGCCATAAAAAACGATGAGTTCTTGTCCTTTGTAGGAACATGGATGAATCTGGAAACCATCATTCTCAGCAAACTGACACAAGAACAGAAAATCAAACACTGCATGGCCTCAGTCATAGGCGGTTTTTGAACAAAGAGAACACATGGACACAGGGAGGAGAGCATCACACACTGGGGTCTGTTGTGAGGGGTGAGGGGAGGGACAGCAGGGGATGGGGAGGTTGGGGAGAGATAACATGGGGAGAAATGCCAGATGTGGGTGATGGGGCGATGGATGCAGCAAACCACCTTGCCATATATGTACCTATGCAACAATCCTGTATGATCTACACATGTACCCCAGAACCTAAAGTGTAATACAAATAAGTAAATAAAATAAAATAAAAAGACTTCATTTCTAGAAGTTTAAATTTTATTTTCCTTTGCTTTGTTTTGGTTTGCGAGTGGGGAAGGGTCTTACTCTATAGCCCAGTTTGGAGTGCACTGGTGCAGTCATAGCTCACTGAAGCTTTGAACTCCTGTTTCAACCTTGCCAGTGGCCTGGACTACAGGTGCACATGATGGTGTCCAGCTTTAGAGGTTTAAATTTAAAAACTGAAGATGTGTATTAATATTTGATAACATAACATCTTTTGAAAAACATACCACAGATTCTATTTCCTGATAGGATGGAGTAGCTACTATCAACATATTATCCCACTGAAAAAAAAAATTAGAAAATTGTACAAAATTTATTTTCAGAATGCTGGAAATCACCCAGTACAGGACCGTGACGACTGAAAAAAGAAAAACAAAAACCCTCAATACTTCAAAATAATAAAGCAAAGTCAATGAAAGCCCCAGCTGTTTGCTGGGACCCTTCTCTAGACTGTGCAGGGAGGGAGAACCCAGGAAGAACTCAGTGGTCTTCTTTAGTTGAGATGAGTAAGGTCAGTCTTGGAGACTATGGTGGCCAGAAGTTACTGGACATAGTAGCAGAGATAAAGTGGTATGCAGAGAAAAAGCTATAGGCATTTCCATGAGGCTACTTGAGGTTTTAGTTGAATACTGAGCTGTGCATGCATAGGATGGAACTGCATTTGGCTGAGCAAAGAACAATTACTGAAGAGCTATAAAGATGAAGAATTACAAGAGTTCACCCAGGAGTGGGAGGTGCCATCACTGATACCACAGGTTTCTAAAAGAATCGTTTTCCAAATTCTAAGCCGCTCACAAACATACGTCTCAGAAGTATGGAGGTTTTACAACTTAGAAGACGATGCTTTATTGACTCAAGCATATGAATTTAAATAAAAATAAATAGTAAAAACGCTAAGACATTGTAACTGGAATTGGACTATTTTCACTTATTACCTCAATTTTGTAACCATTTATTGTTAACTAACCTGATAATATAAATACCAAACAGGTATTACTTAAAATTGATTGTCTTCAAAGTATATTCTTGTCTAATATTTCTACCTGTCACATACATTTGATTTACATAGGTAGGCAAACTATGTTATTGCACATCTGCTCAGGCACAATTGGAGCTGAAAATCAAACAAGTAATGATAGAAGTAGTGGTGAAACCTACATTTAACCTATAACAGTAGATTTATTTCTTTAAAAAATTAACAAAAGATACCATGATCTGAGAGAGCAGAATTTTGCTTACTAGTGGAGGTGCATTTGGGAGGAGTGGACCAGCCACCTTCTACACATGAAATGTTGGTCTTATTTTCTTGAAGGCTGTATCCTGCATTGCAAACAATTTGTACAGTATCACCTTCCAGATGTGTCCGTCCTGAAGAGTCAGAATGACCATTTTCCACAAAAGGAAAGAAACATATTCCTAAGGACCAAAAATTGTTTAATGTACAAGATGAAAGTAGCAAAAAAAAAGTTCAACTGCATTTTAAAATATTTTATTAAGAGTTGAAAACTTTGAAAACTGACATCATGGGTAAATATTTTCAAAAGAATTTGGTCATGTTACTGTATATATGATGAAATATATTTTTTGTTCCCATATATGTACATATAAAAGAAAGTTAATATTTCATGCTGTTACTGTCTGGTTGTTATAATAAAATATTTTATGTTTATAAACTTTTCTAGGGACGAAACAGTATCTTCATATAAATACTTCTCTCAATTCTCATGAACATTTCCTACAAAAGGAGAAAGATTGTTATTATCTCCTTTGTTGCCTCATCTATTCTCTCTCCCATCGTTTTTCTTTTTTTAATACACCTGTTGTCATTGGAGTCTGTTCTCTACATTTATTGGAGGATAAATATAGCTACACTTAGAAGTTCCAAAGAAATAATTTATTAAAAATATAAAAGTGAAAATACTAAACCTTACCTTGCAATATGCAAAAGAATGGTAAATTCAAAACAGAAAATGTTTAAAATTGACTTACTTTAAAGGAAAGCTATGATCAGGCTGCTACCAAATGATATTAGTAAAGAAACATTAGCAGTCAAATATACTAATCATAATTAATTATTATTTTTAAAATTAATATATTTCAATGCATAGAGCATTTCTAAGTAATGCAAGACAGTTGACATATTTATTCTTCATTTAGTTCTCATAAGGCACCGCAAAATAGGAGGACTACATCTACCATGTTTCCAGCTCCTCTGGTCACTGCCCCTGTCATTATCATGACCTTATGATCTTGTCTGGCACATTCTTCTCTATTCACTGAAACAAATCCATGTAACGATCAGGGCATTTACTCACTGAGACACTTTGGTGTTGGTGACCATCCTTCTTCTGTGCATGTTATGCGAGTCCAAAAGGATTTTGAAGGAGACATAAAATTATAGTCACAGGAGTAATAGAAAACTTCCCCTATAGGAACTTGGGAAAATGGCTTATAATTGTCTTCATCATACAGAATTCCATGGTTTATTTTTGGAAAATCACAAAGTGTTGCTGGGAAAAATAACACAAAACTGAAGAATTACATAATAAGCTACATCAAGGAATCACTAGATTATATTTTAATCATCTCATTTATGGTTTTTTCTTTCCTTCAGCTTAAATACCTTTAGCTTAAATGCTTTCCAGTGTACTAATTTGGAACAAAGAAATATCATTCTTTAAGAGTACGAGAGTATTTGAGGAGGTCATTGTCAATGGATATGAAATTTATATTTTAGAGTGATATGAAATATGAACTCTTCTGCTATGTGCTCAAGAAGAAAACCCTCACACAACAATTTAAGAATGAAGACAGATTGTAAGAGTGGCAAAACTCCCTGATCTATGTAGGGTACAGCAGAGGAGTGATAGGATTATTTTCAGCTCTGAGATTTATCCTTTTCTCTATTCTCACCAATTGTCATAGGTATCTCCATGAGAAACTTTGTCCTATTTTTTTTTTTCTGGTGCTGCAAAAATGTTGGCTAAGTAGTTTGTTTGTTTGTTTTTTTATTTTGGAGTGGGAACGGGCCCTTGAATCACCATGTAGAGCAAGGACAACGTCAACCAGGTTCACTTTCCTGGGCGTATCAGGCAAACAGGAAATATTTTGTGTTTGAGGTGTTACACCTTCAGGGTTTATTTTTGTATCCCTTTAGCTTATCCCTATCATGCTTACAAGAATTGTTTACAAGAATTGTTTTTTAATATTTTCATTATTTTCTTGTTACAAAGTTTATATAGTTTCAGTGAAAATAATTTAGAGAGTACAAGAAAATCACTAAGAACAACTCAACCAAGATTAAGTTAGAGCTAAATTTTGGTAAGTGTTGTATATGATAATACGTATTTATACTGCTGGTCCAAAACATTTGAAAAAGAAAAAAAACAATAAAAAGATAATAAAACAATAAAAATGATGTAATAAAAATATAACAACTATTCACATCGTATTTACATTATATTAGGTATTATAAATACTCTAGAGATGGTTTAAATTACATGGGAGGACATGCATAGGTTACATGAAAATACTACACTATTCTCTTAGAGACTTGAGCATCTGTGGGTTTTGGTATCTGCTGGGGGTCAGGAGAGTCCTAGAATCAATTCCTTCAGGATACTAAGGGACTACCATATATATGTATATAGACACTTACACATACATCCGTATGCACTATGGTGCCAGATGTATTAAAACAATGTAGAAAATGGGTGAAATCTCAATGTTCTGACTCTATTTTCTTGTGTGTATATATATAAACTGTAAATAAAAACTTAAATACTAAAGTCTAATAAAAATATGTGTGTATATTAGACTTTAGTTTTTATTTACAGTTTATATATATGTATATATGTGTATATACACACACATATTTTTATTAGACTTTAGTATTTATTTAGTTTTTTTCACAGCAAATTTGAGTGGAAGGTACAAAGATTCCCTATATACCACTTCCTCTTCCCTACCACATGAATAGCCCCCTCACCATCAATATTATTATCATTCAAAGTCCATAGTTTACATTAGGGTTTACTCTTGATATTGTACATTCTATGGATTTGATGTACTTTATCTTTGAGTGCTTTTTTAGCTCAAGACATTTCCTCAATACAGTACTGCTATTTTTTTTTAGCTCAAGGCATTTTCTCAATATAGCATCGCTGCTTGAGAAATTGTTTTGTTTTTCACCTTATCGGGAAAAAGCGTGCAGAAATTCAGCTGACAAATCAAGGGAAATTTGTCCTTTTGATCTACCTTGAAGTTATATTTAACGTTTTACAATATTTGAAATAATTCTGGTGGTATTTAACCTTGTGAAACCTTATTGATTATCTAACTTTTTAAAATGTGACACTAGATATTTTTAGAGAAGATATTGAGGGAAAGACTCCCTCGTGTCTTGATAGTATTAACATATCATAACTCCTTTTAAGTATCCTTCACTCCTCCAAAATTGCAAAATTATAGTACTCAATTTTCATACATTCATGCTTACATATTTTTCATTATCCAGAATAACTTTGCTCTCATCATCCAGTTATATTCTACCTCTCCTGCAGAACTTGCTTTACAGCACTGATCTCACACCCACTGTGCACATCCACAATGGTGCAAGCTAGGAGTGTTAGTGTCCTTTTGCAAGCCTCCCATTACACAATCACCCACTTGAAAAGTAGAAAATAATTTTTCTTATCTCTACCTTCTGATAGAATATTATGAATATATTTCTTCTGATATATAAAATATATATATACATATATATGCATATATACAAACACATATACAGGCATACAGCCATTTACCACATAATAATGTTTTGGTCAATGACTGATCACTTACATCACAGTGGTTCCATAAGATTATAATGTAGCTGAAAAATTCTTACCAACTGATGACCTCCGTTACATTATGGTGCAATGTATTACTCACATTTTTGTGGCAATGCTGGTATAAACAAACCTACAGCATTGCCAGTCATATAAACTATAGTATACACAATTATGTATAGTATATAATATTTGATAATGATAATAAATGACCATTGTACTGGTTAATGTATTTAATATATTAGAGTTTTTTTTATCATTATTTTATAGCTCACTTCTTCTCATTAGAAAAATTAACTGTAAAACATCCTTAGGTAGGTCTTTCAGGAACTGTTCCAGAAGAAGCCTTTGTTTTCACAGGAGATGACAGCTCCATGCGTGTTACTGCCCTCAAGACCTTCTGGAGGGACCAGAGTGGAGGAGGAAGACTGTGATACCAATGATCCTGACCCTTTGTAAACCGAGGCTAATGTGTGTGTTTATGCCTGTTTTTAACAAAAAGGTGTAAAAGGTAAATAAATAAATAAAATAATTAAAAGATAAAATCTTATAGAATAAAGGTAGAAAAAAATCTTTTGTATATCTCTACAAAGAGTGTTGTAAGCTACATGTTATCACAAAAGAGTTACGAATTAAAAAGTTTTTAGTTGATAAACTAAAAAAGGTTACCATAAATTAAAGTTAATTTATTATTGAAGAAAAGTTTTTAAAATAACTTAAGTCTACCCTGGATGCACCAAAAGCTCAGTAATTGGCACTAAAGAACTTATCCATGTAACTAAAAACCACTTGCTCCCTCTAAAATATCAAAAGAAATATATAAATAAAATAAATTTAGCCTATCCCAAGTATTCAGTGTTTATGAAGTTTACAGTAGTGTATGGTAAGTTGCTAAGCCCTCATATTCATACACCACTCACTCAGTGACTTACCCAGAACAACTTTCAGTCCTGCAAACTCTATTTATGATAAGAATCCTATACAAGTCTACCGTTATTAATGTTTTATACTGTATGTTTATTGTACCTTTTCTATGTTTAGATAAACACATTCTTACAATTGTGCTACAACCGCCCACAGTGTTCAGCACAGTAACATGCTGTACAGGTTTGCATCCTAAGACTGTCAGGCTACACCATGCAGCCTAGTGAGGTAGTGGGCTTTATAATCCAGGTTTGTGTAAGTACACTCTATGAGGTTTGCAAGAGGACGAAATTGCCTAATGCACTTCTCAGAATGTTTTCCTATCGTTAAGTGATGCATGACTGTACACACACACACACACACACACTCACACACACTCACAGACAATCCCCTATATGTAACCTTGCAATTTATTTGATTATTTACATGATGGTTTTCTTTTAGGACACCGTAAGTTGTAGTGAGGCGTGGCTGGGGTTGTCATATTCTTTCCAGGTTCTCTGCCACAGCATGAAGCACAATGTTTTACTTAATAAATATATTGCTTGATATTTTGCTACTGGAGGCATGCAATTTTCTACTTGTACAAAAGTGTTGCCTTCAAGTGTTGATTCTGCTGTTTGGCCAGTTTCTAAACAGACACCTAAACAAAAGCGTAACACATACTTACAGGTCATTTAACACCTAGACAACTTTTAGATAGAATTTCACTGAAGTTTATCCTGGGACTGGATTGAAGCTTGAATGTTTTTTTTTGCTGGGTTAGGAATTGTCAAAATTCTAATTCATAATTTTCATTTATCTTCCTCTGCTTCCACCCCCCCATTTAATATTCTTGTAATACCATTTGTGACAGATGTTTAAGCCACTTAATAAATACCATAAACACAGACTTAAGAAAAATCAAATACACTCACACGATCGCACTCCTGGGATTACAACTCACTACTAAAAGTAAAAACAAATTAAATGAATTTCAAGCCCGTAGAAATAATGTTTTGCAACATTTGTAAGGGCATATATTAAAAAGAAAGCATTTTATTGTTCATATTTTTCTTTTATTTCAGGACCGAGGAGAAAGTGTTCAAAAAAATTTAAAGATCTGTAAACATTAGAAAGCAGCAAAACAGTAAAACAAAGCTTTCTGGAAATCAAAGCATAAGGCACAATCATTGAAACTCCATGTACACACATAGTTTAATCAGTAACCTAGACCTTGTTAGAGATTTTGTTTGCAATTCTTTTGACATGGTATCTTTAATTTCTACCTGAAATACAATGAGACAGTTTATAAAATATTATAAGAACCAGTTTATAGTATTAATAAGGAGGTGATATATATTATTTCACTTTTCACATTTGTGGAAGAGCTCAGAAAAAGCAATTTCTTGGCAGTTCACTGGTTCACACATAAAAATAATATTTTCTATTGTTTCATTACAATATATTTCTCTGTTGAATGATAATTAGACTCAAATGAGAATTCCTTCATTTTAATAATGTTTAAAATTTAAATTAACACATCTATGAAAATAAAATTATAAAAACATTTTAAAGGTGGCCAAATCTTCGGAGGTTGATTTTTCTAGTCAGTGGCATGGCAGAGTTTATGTAGGGTCACACTAATACTTCACCTTGCCATCTTTATTGTGGCAGATTTCCCCTCCTTTAATTTCTTTTTACATTATCTATTTGGTGACCATTTACCCTTTGCAACCTAGAGAATAGAGAGAATTAATTTCATTCTATATTCCTGCTAATTGCATGTTAGAAAATATTTCCATAAAATAGATTAATATGATGATACCCCTTCAAATTATTCTCAGCTATTTATTCATTTAAAAATATACTTATGCATGCACACACAATCAATAAATATATTTGAAAAGAAAATAAAATATTCAGATCTGTTTTCAACTTACCGTCTCCCCCAACAGTGGATGCCCATGAGATTAGAGTTATACCGAATAAGAGCGACATGCTTGGTAGTCCTGTTCGCATAAAACTAAAAATACTCTGGTGAAGGTGGTGTTGCTTTGAATCTGCTTTCATTAACGGTTATGAGCATGACTTTGAATTTCAGTGTACTAACGGGAAGCTAGTTTAGTGAAGCCCTTTGTGGTAAATATCAAAGTTCATGGAGATCGTGTGAAATAAACAAATAGTGTCTAATCAGTGTTTTCACAATAACTTTCTCAACTCATCATGTAATATACTTGAGCAAATAACAGCTGTTTGTAGTCAGCAAGTCTCTGAGTTTGGAATAATCAGAAATGGACCATTTAGAGAAAAGAGGGGCTCCCTTTTGTTCCTAGCTAAGCATTCAGCTGTTTGGTAAGGCAAGCAAGTGCAGGTCATCTAGTCTTCATCTTAATACGGCAACACTACTTTTGTAGTTGTAAATTCCCTTCAAAACCGGTACTAAGAATTAGGTACCTTCTTAACAGTTGTAATATTTTGTAGACTATAAAAGGCCTAATCAAGAATAATTTTTGCCAAGTGACGCTTCCTGAAATGTTTGAAGATACAAAATTATAACTCAAAATCATTTTGTTCAGGTGGGACTTTGAGAATGGTTATCTGAGGGTCTTGGTACATTCACTTCCAACCAAAAGGGAGCAATAAAACTGGATACAATTTTAAAAACAACAATTGGTTGTCTCTGAAAATTGGACAAACAGCATACTGTTGGGAAATACTTCTTCCAGAAAGTCTTCATAATATTCAATAAAAGAGAGTGGCTGTTTTCATCCACCTTTGTCTCACAGCCCAGTTCTGTGGCTCAGAAGTTGAACCCTGAACGGCTGGCAGTCTATGTGGACTGGAAGCTCTGCTGCCCTGCTAGAGGGGAGTGACTTAATAGCTTGGAAAAGTCCATGCCTGAGGATCCTATTGAATACAAAGAGATTACAGTGGGAAACGATCAGAGAAGACCAGAATGTCTAGAGGATACTAGCTAAGACAAGCAACAAAGTGGCCAGTCAGCCAGAAATTTAACATTTAATGGGGAAATTTGAAGAAAGAGACAGCCTAAGGATCTCACTAAGATGAAACTTACTCATGGTGGTTCAGAAGTCAACGGAAATGCACATAGCTATGTGCATCCAATCAAGAAACCAGAGAAGTCCCTGTGAGCTACTGATAGGTAGTCTCAACTATTGATTCTAGTGTATCTAAACCAGGGGTCCCCAAACTTTTTACACAGGGGCCAGTTCACTGTCCCTCAGACCGTTGGAGGGCCAGACTATGCAAGGTGTGACACCCTTCACAGCCAGCACTGCTGCCTCAACTATCCCAGACAGCGGTATACAGTGTCACAGGCCCAGTACCGCCTCCAGTGCTGTACACAGGGATGGCGGTGATCAGCCTGTGACACTGTATACAGCGTCCTGGACATCTGCAGTGGCAGAGGGCCTCTTCTGTGGGAAGCCCACTGCTGCATGTTTCCCCTATTATAAGACACCTCCTAAAAATAAGACAGCCCCCATCTTTTGGGGGTAAAATTAATATAAGACAGGGTCTTATAATAGGGGAAACACGGTGTGTAGTAATGTTGGGGGAGACTTTTGGGCAAAGGGAGGTTTTAGGGGCCATTATGTTGTTGTACATTTGGGGGAATATGGGGGCCATTGTACTGTGTAGTAATGGTTATAGTGCTTTGCCTTTCTTCCTACTTCTGCTGTTATTTCACACTGCTTCCGGTGATGTGGGGCACTGCGGCCGCAGACCAGATGTGCGTCATATGACGCGCTTCCAGAGCCGTGACGTGTGCATCCCGCATCGCCGGAAGTAGTACTGTATGTGAGTGATGCTATGCTTTGCGGTGCCACCACATACAGCACTCCAGGAGCACAGGATGCATCCTGTGCTCCTCTCACTGACCACCAATGAAAGAGGTGCCCCTTCCTGAAGTGCGGCAGGGGCCAGATAAATGGCCTCAGGGGGCCGCATGCAGCCCGCAGGCCATGGTTTGGAGATCCCTGATCTAAACCTTGTCATTTCCAATTGCTACACTATCTAAAATATCTAAATTTTAAGCATCATACCTTAGACCATTTCAACAATCTTTTTAACTCACTTACTCTACTAAATTTGTTCCAACTATTCAATGACCCTAATACTTTTTCAACATTCTTTTCCCTTCACTTTCTCTCTTCCCACCATAACCACAAATATTTAAATTATTGAATTATTTTTAAGTATATCTGACATTGGTTCACAATCTAAAATAATGTACATTATCTTAAATTCTTTTGTAATGAAAGACATAGTGGCATACAAAGAAAAAAGTTCTTTCACTCAGACATGGTGCCTCATGCCTGTAATCCCAGTAATTTGGGAGGCTGAGGCAGGCAACAAGATCAGGAGTTCAAGATCAGCCTGGCCAATATGGTGAAACCCCATCTCTACTAAAACATGCAAATAATTAGCCAGGTGTGGTGGTGCACACCTGTAGCCCCAGCTACTCAGGAGGCTGAGGCAGGAGAATCGCTTGAACCCAGGAGATGGAGGTTGCAGTGAGCTGAGATTGCACCACTGCAATCCAGCCTGGGCAACAGAGCAAGACTCCATCTCAAAAAAAGAAAAGAAAAGAAAAAGTTCTTTCATTTTATTCCATTCCAATTCCTTTTATTGGTGCAAAGTAGAAATTATTGGTGTAGGTGTGTTGTAGGGATTGAGAACATTTGGATTAAGGAATCACTTAGCACTTGAGAAAAGTAATGTAATATCAACTTTCTGCATTGCAGACATAATGAAAAATAAATTCTATTAAATAACAAATGCCTCTTCAGTTTTAGGAAATAAATATTATACCATGTTCTTTCCTACAGGTTGGTTGAGAAGACCATCCATCAGGGAGACATTGAACCGCTTCTTCATCCTTTCCTCCACTGGTTTTTTTTTTGAGACGGAGTTTCGCTCTCGTTACCCGGGCTGGAGTGCAATGGCGCGATCTCGGCTCACTGCACCTCCGCCTCCTGGGTTCAGGCAATTCTCCTGCCTCAGCCTCCTGAGTAGCTGGGATTACAGGCACACGCCACCATGCCCAGCTAATTTTCTGTATTTTTAGTAGAGACGGGGTTTCACCATGTTGACCAGGATGGTCTCGATCTCTTGACCTCGTGATCCACCCGTCTCGGCCTCCCAAAGTGCTGGGATTACAGGCGTGAGCCACCGCGCCCGGCCTCCACTGGTTTTGTATCCTGAAGCACAACCATAATGCAAGTTCTCTTGAATTTTGTATAATAACTTTACATCAGAGATGTAACCATTACTCAGCTCAGGCTTAATGCATTTTTCTACGGGAAAAAAATATTTATTTGTTTATCTTAATAATGAAACTAAGCTTGTGTTTTACTAACTTCTAAAATTAAGCCAAAAGTATAATGTTAATATTAGCAATTTCATTTTGGAAATATCTGCATTTTTTTTTAAATGGATTTCAATCTAATACTGACTTTCTTTGGATTTACTATTTTTAGTTCTTATAGTAATTTCTATCCCCACTACATCTACTTCTAGGTAGGTTTGCTAAATATATCAATTACAATAACCATATTCGATGCCCTCTTTAAAATGAAACTAACTCAATCAAAGCCCCTTAACCCTGGGTCACCTGCCCTAGTGGAAGATAATTGATAGTTTGACAATAGTGTAGCCTGACATAAAGTAATGAAATGAGTCAATTAGATTACCTTCACACAAATTTCAACTCAAACTTTCATTCAAAATTGAAAAACACAGTTTTCAATTGGTATCATGAGATAAGTTGGTATACAAAGAAGAGATCAGTCTCACAAATGATAAAGCGTTGGAGTAGCAATATTGCCCTTCCAGAGGCTAGTGTTTCAAGCATTTTTCTGGCATTCTAGGCTTAATTATCAAAATAAGTTTCTCATTACTTAAAGTAAATTACATCTTTTCCCCTTGTAATGTGATAAATAACAATTTCAGCTATTACCCTATTCCCTTCAACAGAGTATTATTAAAAACAGATAAAGAAAACAACATTTTAACATAAAATCATTATTTACTGGAATTCAAATTATGCTTTCAATTTGTAGAAAGACAGTTTGCTAGTGGTTTTGTTTTTCTCAACTAAAATGTTTAACCACTTTCCATTTTTATTGGACCCGTAGTTTTATAAACAAATTTCTTTGAGTATTGTAACATTGAGTTGACACATTCAGCTAACTTACTAAAGCACCTTAGTTCTGGAGACCAGCCTTCTGCTGTACACGTGGTTTGCCCTTCTTGTCTCCCACCTTCGGTGGTATAGCCAGCCAAGCAGAAAAATGACAATTTTGTTGTTATGCTCATTGGAAAGTAAAAGCTTTTAAAAGTGTGGTAATATTGGGCAATTCTTCCATTTTCCACATGAGGAAAACCACAGGGTTTCTCTGAAATGAGCAAATGTCAAGCTGAAAGTGGAAAAAAAATCTAAAAACATAAAATATGTAATCAGATGACAAGACAAACTAATTAAAAGTATTTAGAGTAACTTCAACTAGTACTTATTTTTCTTAAATTTTTAAGGTACTTTTGTGACAATTCAAGCAGTCCTTTTATCATAATTGCAAGTTACTTTAAACATCCACCAGTCATGATAAAACTTAGCAAACCACTTCTTCAGGCAAGCTCCACTAACTTTGTAGAACAGTACTTTTCTTTTTCTTATTAGAGACAGAGTTTTCCTTGTTATCCAAGCTCTCAGTGCAGCTCATGGCCACTGAGAGCTTCTAGGCTTAACCGATCCTCCTGTCCTGTAGCTAGGACTGCAGGCACATGCCACCACGCTTGGCTAAATTATGCTTTATTTTTTGTAGAGATGGGGAAGCGGAGGTCTCACTATGTTGCTCAGGCTGGTCTTGAACTCGTGGACTCAAAGGATCCTTCTGCCGTGGCCTCCCAAAGCACTAGGGTTACAAGAGATAAGCCACTGCACTGCACCTGCACTTCCTACTAGATATGTATTGAAAGTCACATATATAATTTAAAAATTTCTAATAGTCACATTCATAAAAATATAAAGGATGAGCTGAAGTTAATTTTTATAAGCTATTTTAATTGACCCAATATATTGAAAATATTTTATGTTTTTTTGTTACTAACTCTTTAACATTCCCTATGTATTTATAGTTCCAGTACATATGATTTTGGGCTAGTGACATTTTAAGTACTGTCTACAATAGCTACATGTGGCTAATGCTCACTGTAATTGGACAGCACAGTTCAGGAATAGATAAAGTTTCTCCTTAACATATGCAAACTCATTAAAAATTTTCAAATAAATAGCATTTTCAAAGAAAAAACAGACAACAAATTAAAACGAATAGAATACTTTAGCAAGAGCTTTGCCAAACAGGATATTTAAATGGTTAGAGACCTAGTACTTAGTGTTATTAGTCATTAGGGAAATGCAAATTTAAATCACCATGAGATAGTACTGCATATCCAATAGAATTGCTGAAATGAAAAAGACAGGCTATCTCAATGACTGGTGAAGAACTGAAGAAACTAGAAGTCTCATGTTTATACAATTGTAAGTCTAAATTAGATCAAACTCTATGAGAGAACACCTTTGCAATATTTATTGGTGTAAAACACATACAAACCATATTCCTAATTAAAAAAGCATATATTTGTATACCAAAAGACATGCAAAAGAATGTTTATAACAGCATTATTCATATAGTCCCAACCTGGAAACAATCTAAGTGTCCATAAATAGGAAAAGATAAACACACTTTACACTATGTATACAATGGAATATTATACAACAGAAATGAATGAATGGTGATTCTCATAAACATAATACTGAAAGATGCCAATCACCTATGAATTATATAGAAATTTGCATAACTTTTTAAAAGAAGACAAACTAATCCATGATAAAAGAAGTCCAATTAGTTACCTTTGGGGTTTAGTGCCCTGCAGGCATCAGTTATGTTTCTGGTGTGCTGTCACTGTTCTATATCTTGATCTGGATAGTGTAAAATTATATAAAAAATTATAGAAGTGTATCCTATGATTTTTGCATTTTACTGGATATATTATACTCCAAATCAAACACATATTTTAAAAATATATCTTTGTGTTGAAGATCTTAAAATCATAAAAACACTTAAAAGAAAGAAATGCTTGAACAACCCTAGGAGCTGTGTTGAGAAGAAACATGGGCCGTCATGGATAAAAGAAGGGCTGGATCTACTGTGATTACTGTGGCTTCAATGCCTAAGTTGATCACTGCATACTAATGCTACTATGAGACATAGAATAAAAGTAATGCTAGCCTAGTTTTGAAGGAAATGGATGTGGAATGATGAGTAACCAAACTTCCAGCATCTGATGGAGCAGACAGAAAAACATGGGCAGGAAAGTTCCCATTTTCTGAGAATTCTTCTCACCATTTTTCACACCCAAGAACCCAAGGTATTTACAATAAAAAGGCTCTTCCAAAATAGAAGTGCAATGGTGAATACACAAGGAGTTTCCCTGAGGGGCACAGTTGCTTGTCAGGGAGGGGCAGCAAAGTATTCTTTGCACAACAATCCTAGGTTGTGGCTTTAAATACTCTGTCCTGGGACATCTCTCTCCACCACCAGTATAGGCACATTACTTGTTAAGGAGGCTTGAATGCCTTGGAAAATATGAATTCCTGAGAAAAAATTACTGAGAAATGTGAGGAATATACTAATTATATATAAACCAGGAAATCACTGATGTCTGATCATCTAAAAAGTATATGAAGAGATGTACACATTAGCAATCAGAGAATGGTAAATAAATAAAAACTGGATTTCACATTACAAATAATAGCATAGCATAGCAACCAGTACAAAGATGGACAATATGAGGTGATGGTGAGGATGATGAGAAGCAGCAATTGACAGTCTCTTTTGGAGATGATGTACTTTGAAACTGCCATTCTACAAAAGTAATCTGTCACTACTCACAGAAAACAAGTACAAGAATAGACTCAATAATTTCACCTGTGAGAGAATACAGACTGACCAAATTCTCACAGAAAGATAAGTTGGTTATATTATAACATTCATTTCAGAGCTATTTGGGGTTGAGAGAACTAGAGTAACATGTCAAAACATTATAGTAGGTCCAGGGAAAATGGACTTCAAGACCAGGAATAAGGGCATAAAATGTGTAAGTAAAGCAAAAGTGAGATCTTTCATAAGTTAATAATAACTGCATACCAGGAAATGAGAAATACAATTAACTGAATTCTTGCCCCTGAAGTTCACAATGGGAGTTGAGAGAAGCATGCAAAAATAAGATTATTGTCTCGGTCTTTAAGCAGTTTACTTTTTTTGTTATGTAAAATAGCATTATAACGTTATAGTAATCAGAAAATTCAGTAGAATATTTCAGTGTTTTTATGGTATAGATAACAGACAATTATATCTGCTAATATTTCCCTATTAAGACAGAAAAATAAAAGCAAAAGAAATTCATTTAAAAATCATCCTATTATAGAATTAAAAGTATCAAATAAGATTAATTCTGTGGGTTTCAGTTTTATAATTTTATTCTTAGATGTTTTGGTAGAAAATTTACAGTAAATTATTCAATTAAAATACAATTAAAACTTAAATATTTAATTTCAACAAATTTCCTAAGATGTTTATTTTAGAAAAACCTTATTGCTGTAGTCTCTTTCTTTGTATGTTCACTCTTGCTAATGCTAAGTGCCTCTCTGGATTCTTCATCCTAAGATCTGATAATACTGGTAATTTTTCCTAAACAACAGACCCGTGTACACTGCCTCCCTTACACTATCACACTAAGCATACACTCTGGACAATATGACTATAAAGCATTCTAATAGGGAGTCCATAGGTATTTGTTTGTTTGGAAAGTCTTGATTTATACGTGTTCAAACAATTATCAGTAGAACCCCTCTTTTATTCTCAAAAGTGTCCCTGTTTGTACAAGCAATTATATGGTTGTCCTACTAATCAATACTTAATGTCTTCAACCAATGAATAATTCATTGGGATAAAAATCAAAGTCTCAAAAGTAGAAAATCTTGCTTATTATTTATGGCTATTTCTTTTTCAAATTTCCCACATTAAACTCCCACCTTATGAACAGAATTAAAATTGTACAAGTTTTGTCAGTATTAGGAATGGATTCTAGCATAAATTTAGAATTAAAGTTAACATGCGACTTTGAAATGGGCATACTGTAGCCTGAAAACATTTTAGAAGTATTTAGATCCTGGTCTTCTGTCCCCAAACCTAGAGATACAAATGTTTATGTTTTGTTTTGCTTTTCTGGCTTATGCTACTGTAATAATTAGTAATTTTGCTTACAGGAAAAGGTCTAAATATTATTAAAAGTTATATTTATAAATGGTATGTTATAAAATTGATATATTAAAATGAAAGAGTATAGTAAAACTTTGGTTGTATAAATATTAGAATCTCCATTTGTATGTTTTAGAGAATAAAGAATATTAAGAATTAATTTTACCTTCGGCATAGAGTTCTCCTGAGATTATTAGTATGATGATAAAAGCCAACTTTTTCAACCTCATCTTCAGTGGTGTGCTTCACAAATATTTTAACAATTCTAGCCACTAGGAACTTGTCATTAAGTACACAATACTTCTCATGGGGAAAGTGTTAATAATTTACATATGTCTAAGTCCTTTTATAATGAGTCTTATATTTCACTTAAAATATTTTCAAATAATTTTAAAATAATACAACTATATTAATTGACATTACTTATCTTGCCAGAGTCCAATAAGAACATTATAATTGATTTGGTCATCAATAGCAGCAGAATAAATAATTAACACAGGTTGCATAAAAAACTAGGTAAATTTTCAACCTAAGTTCCCAGTTGTAAATTCATATATTAAAGTTCACTTGTGGCCATGGATCTTTACCAATATTGATTAAGTAAAAAGATGAACTTAGGAATGTGAGCTAATGGACACCTGATGTTGAAATATGCTGTTGTCTAGATTGCACTTCTTAAAGAGATATATAACTGAGATAGGGGCTAAAACAGAAGCCTAAGCACTGCCATCTTATAGAAAAGCCACCTGGGCCCTGGGCAGAGGTGTCGTTCTCAGAACTGTTACTGTACTGCAATTCTCAGAAGTGTTAAGGGTAAAATTTCCACTGCTACCCCCCTCCCCTTGCAACAAACCGCTAACTTTAGCTTCTGTACAGACAGCTTGCCTTGCATGCTCCCCTCTACCCCTCCAATCAAGAATGTGGTTTTGCAACTTAAACGCCTTGCTCCCCATGAGCTCGGGGCCATGGGTTGAAGAGACATGAGTCCTCCGTGACCGCTGGCAATAAAGACCCTGCAATCTGGCATACTTTTGTCTTGGTATTGATTTTCTGCTTGCTCCAGTGCTATATCTGGAGGCCCCAGCGAGATTTTTCTTTCTCTGTCCATCACCAGACAAAAACCATCTCAGAGCCTTGGCCGGGTGGTTGTCCTCACCCCAGGGATCCCTAGCGTAGGTGCCCCCTGAAAGGTTCCAGGGCCCCAGGGTTCAGGCCCCATGGAGACTGTGTAACCGTGCTGCCGACATTCGCCTAAAGTTCTTCAGGGTCCTGGGAACCTCTGGAGGTAAGTCTGGTCTGGAATCTGGGGACTAGTCCATTGGTATCCGTAGTCCAAGTCAGGCGACCGGATGTGGTCACTGCAACTCTGACCCCGGCAAGCCTCCCCAAGATGTCGCCTGAGGCTCTGGCATCTGGTAGCTGGCATAGTGGGTATCAGCGTTCGGTTGTTTTCCATAACCTCTGTGTGAGTGTGAGAATGGATGTGGATATATGTAGTCCCACAGCCAGTAGGTTATGGGGCTTGTGAGGGCCTCCACCCACAATTCCATGGGAGCATCGTAAAGCATATCGGTGATTCACCTCAGAACCAAAAATTCTGAGGTGACCAGGCCCAGGGTTTATATGGGTACACCTTAGCCAAGATGTCCTGAAATATTCTTCAAGGGATGTGGCCGGGCAGGCATCAGACTGGCCTCCCATCTTGGGGAGGCACCCATCCTTTGTCCATCTTATATGTGGTTCTGTCTGTATTGTAGATTCACCAGTTTTGTTAGACTTTTGTTGGCTGTTATACAATGGTCCAGGCCTGCTTCCCTTAAGGTGGAAAACATTCTACAGTGGCTGATGGACCACTGGCTGCAGGGGACCTTTACTGAGTTCATGCCCCTGGAAATAACTCTGTTCTCTTTCCTTTTCCTATTCCTTTTCTATCATTGAGGCCTCACTCTTTCTTTCCTCATTCTTCGCCTTTTTCATGTCTAAGAAAAAATTCTGCCCTCAGCAACTTGTATGTAATTTGTCTCTGTCTTAGAAAAATCAAACCTTAAATAAGAAACTACCAGCCCTCTTCACCTGTTTAGGGTGAAAAGGGAGTAATTGTCTCTTCTGTCAAAAGAGGGAAGAGAGGAGAGAGGAGAAAAAAATGGGGAGGGGAAGAGGAGAAAGGACAAGAAAGAGAGACAGAGAAGAGAGGAGAGAAGAGGAGAGAGAGAGAGAGCAAGAAAAGAGAGAAATAGGGAAAGAGAAATTTAATGCTTTTTAGGGTCCCTGTGTCAAGGCGACCAAAAACCACAGGGGCAGGAAACTCACAGCCAGTCTAGCAGCTGTAAGCTCAGGGCGGCTGGGAGCTCAGTTTTAAACGGACACCAAAAGTGCTCTTTTCCTTTCTCTGCCGACCGCCAGCCCCGCCCAGCTTTCAGGCAGGCCATACCCCCTTAGGGTGCAGCATTTGCATCCAGAATATGGCTCAAGGAAGCTTTCTGCCTGCCTTTACTGCAAGTGGCCTGTTAGCATAGTAGATAAGGTATAGGGCCTGCAACTGCAAGGTCGCTGGTTCAAATTCTCAGTGGAGCCAGTCTTACATTTAAAAGAAAACTTCTTAAAAAAAAATTTAAAAGCTATGGAACTTTATGTTCAGTATAATTTGTCTTGGTTAGAATTGGTTGGCTCTCTACAGCAGAACTTTTCCATCGAAATTGACTTAAAACACACAAACAAAAAAGCATAGTTAAAACTTTGGATTTTTAAATGAGTTCCTTTGCCCCCACTGGGGTTGTGAAACTACCTCTACCATATTGGGCTGTATCAAAAAGAAAGACTCATTCATCTCCTTCCAGCAGGTGTCTCCCCCATCCCAGTACCCTGCTGGGTCCTGTAACCCAGTCAGAATAACTGTAGCTGCCCCAGATAGTAGACGGACAACAGGGCAAACTTGGGGTCTCAGAGTATATATGAGAGGGTGGGATATTGGCAACATTTTCACCATGCAGCGCATGGCTCCGCCACAACCTAACTGCCCTATAGGAAAAATTGCAGAAGTCCTAAAACCCTGGGAACCTTTCCCCAAACCTGAAGAGTCCAGTCTCCTTATCCACCGCTGGCAATAAAGACCCTGCAATTTGGCATACTTTTGTCTTGGTATTGATTTTCTGCTCTCTCTGGTGCTTCATAACCATAGTTATCTCAAGCAATGATAGAATAGTATTATTTAAAATAGTTAGAATCATATTATTTAAAATTCCTAAAATAGTAATATTTAACATTTAGAGAGTTTGTACTTTGTGGCAGATGGTGAGATAAGCTCTGTAATATATCAACGTTCATTTTTGAGACATACTTAGAATGTCCACAATATGGCAGGATATGTAAGTTTTGAGGTAGTTAGCAGTAAAAAAAAAATGGAATAAAATTCTTGCCCTCATGGATTTCACATGCTAATGAGTTTTAATTTAAAATACAAAATAGGAAAAAATGGCAGATAGGAGGCAGGATTAACTTGCAGCTCCCACTTGGATGGACAGACCAGGATGTAGAGACTCACATCATGAATTTTGGATCCAAGAACTACTGCAGGGATACACCAGGAAAGCCAAGAGAACCACAGATCATTCAAAAGACATGGATTGTTCCTGCATGACCCAGGAGACAGCCTACATACTGTGAATGCCCAAACAGTGAAAGGGGGATTGTCCACCCCTGAACACACACCCTTAGGGAACCTGAATGTCTAGATCACAAGAGAAGAATTTGACCTTACCTGGAGCAGAGACAATTTAGAGAACTGAGTGAAATACAGGAGTAGAGAAAGCAAGGGGAAAAGCCCTGGCTCACTGGGTCCCCAAAGAAGCCATTTCTGACTTGTCTAACAGGGGACCTGGAAAGGGCTGCCAGAGGAACTGGGAAAAGATCACAGGGAGAAGGAAACCACCAGCTGAACTTTGTAACAATTTTGACTGAGCAGAAACTTCCTGGCCAGAACTCGGGAAAGAGTGTGAATCTGGTGTGCAGAGTCAACAGGTGGGGAGGCACAAAAGCCTCTCTTGCTTTCTCAGTTGATAGGCTGGTAGCCTGGGGCAAGTTCTCAACCCTGTTCACCCACTGCATGGAAACAAACTCATTGCTGTTGGTGGGAACACGGTAGAAGTGAGACTTGCTTGTTGGGTTGTGTAGGAGCTGGGTAGGGTCTGTAACTGCCAGCTTTCCCCCAGTTCCCTGACACCCTTCATGACACAGCAGAGGCAGCCATAATCCTCCTGGGAAGATAACTCCATGGACCTTGGAATCACACCCTCTTTCCCCACAGCAGCTGCAACAAGCCCTGCCCAAGGAGAGTCTGAGCTCAGACATGCCTAACCTTGCCTCCGCTTGATGGTCCTTCCATAACCATTCTGGTAGCTGAAGACAAAGGTCATATTCTCTTGTAAGTTCTAGGCCCCGCTTACCCCTGATCCTCCCCTATATTACCACAGCTGATGCTCTCTTGAAAGCGCTACCTTCTGGCAGGAGGCCAACCAGCAGAAAACTAGTGCATTAAACAAGTACAACCAAGGACCCTCACAGAGTTCATTTCACTCCCCTGCTACCTCTATTAAGACAGGTGCTGGTATCCATGACTGAGAGATCTGAAGACAGTTTACGTCAAAGGACTCTGTGCAGACAACCCGCAGTACTAGCCCAGAGCCTGGTATCCCTACTGGATGGCTAGATTCAAAGAGAAATAACTGTAAGCAAGAGGGCCTTGCAGTGCCCCTATTGGCTAGAAGTGGGTGTGCCACCACTACACCGCGAGCAAGAAGGCCTGGCAGCACAGGGAGTATCCTGCATTGCCGTAGTTACCAGCAGGGGACGTGCTGCCACTACACGATGAATAAGAGGTCTGTGCAAGTGCCCCGACCTCCAGCAAGGACTGCCATCAACGCGCTGTGAGAGGGCCCTGCATTGACCCCAGCCGCCGGCAGGGGGTGCCCGACATCGCCTTTTCAGCTTCCTGCGGCTCCGCCTCCAGCGTGCATGGCGTCAGAGCGCCGGCTTCCGAGCACAGGCGTGTGAGCGCGCCGTCACGGCGCAGCATGTGTGCGTGGCGTCAGAGCGCCGGCATGAGAGTGTGGCATCACAGCGCCAGCATGCGTAGTGTCAGAACGCTTGTGTGCAAGCACGTCGTCAGAGCCCCGGCATGCGTGCGCGGCGTCACAGCGCCAGCGTGCGTGGCTTCAGAGCGCTGGCGTGTGAGCGCGCCGTCCCGGCGCAGCAGGTGTGCGTGGCGTCAGAGCGCCGGCATGAGAGTGTGGCATCACAGCGCCAGCTTGCGTAGTGTCAGAACGCTTGTGTGCAAGCACGTCGTCAGAGCCCCGGCATGCGTGCGCGGCGTCACAGCGCCAGCGTGCGTGGCTTCCGAGCACAGGCGTGTGAGCGCGCCGTCCCGGCGCAGCAGGTGTGCGTGGCGTCAGAGCGCCGGCATGAGAGTGTGGCATCACAGCGCCAGCATGCGTAGTGTCAGAACGCTTGTGTGCAAGCACGTCGTCAGAGCCCCGGCATGCGTGCGCGGCGTCACAGCGCCAGCGTGCGTGGCTTCAGAGCGCTGGCGTGTGAGTGTGCCGTCACAGCGTGGCGTGCGTGTATGGCATCAGAGTGCCAGCGTGCGAGTGTGGGGTCAGAGCACCGGAGTACATGGCATCTGAGCGCTGGCATGCAAGCGCCCAGTCAGAGCGTTGGCATGCGTGGCGTCAGAACGCCGGTGTGCATGCCTGGCATCACAGTGATGGCGTGCGTGGCATCAGAGTGCTGACGTGCATGCGTGTGTGGCATCATAGCGCCAGTGTGCGGGGCGGCACGGTGGTCTGCAGCATTTTGTTCTCCTCAGTACAGACCTTTGGGATACTGGGAGGGCGGAGCTGCATCTTCCTCCCCAGAGGACCCAGGGTGGGGTTGGGGGAGCACCACGAGGACGGAGCTGTATTCTCAGCACAGACTCTGCTGGCACGTGAAGGCAGAGCCGCTTTCCCAGCACATACCTTGGGGGCACTGCCTCAGTTTGGGACAACTCTGGGCCGCGTTCACAGTGAGTAAAATCCTTCCTGTTTGAAGCCCTGACTGCTGAGGGCTAAAGACTAGTAAGAAGGTCTCCGTGTGGAAAACTGGATACCAAAAGCCTATGAATCCTGCGCACCAACGTTTTCCCCACCCAATGCCAGGTGGCCTCAGTGTGAAATCCACACCGTAGCCACAAAACACAAATTGAGTGTTCCCCAAGCAGCTATGACATCCCAAATACGAATATAGCACCCACAGTGCTCTTGTAGAAAACACCTGTAATGCCAATGGAAAGCTTCAGTACCCATGTGGCCCTGGCGCTACACCACTGTTAATAATCAATGCTGACATATCAAGGCAAACGTGGAAAATAAGCGTTAGGAATTTGAGTGAGGGCTACAGTTTAGGGATCACAAGAATTGTAGGGTTAGGGTTATGGTTACAGTTACGGTAGGAGTTAGAGTTAGGGTAGGGGTTAGGGTTAGGGTTAAGGTTGGGGTAGAGGTTAGGGTTAGGGTTAGGGTTAGCATGTAGGGTTGGGGTTGGGGTTGGGGTTGGTTTAGGGTTAGGGTTAGGGTTTGGGTTAGGGTTAGGGTTAGGGTTTAGGGTTTAGGGTTAGGGTTAGGGTTTAGGGGTTAGGGTTAGGGTTAGGGTTTGGGTTAGGGTTAAGGTTAAAGGTTAGGGTTAAAGGTTAGGGTTAAAGGTTAGGGGTTAGGAGTTAGGGTAGGTTTAGATAGATTTTATTCATAAAACTGCAGGGAAAGAGAGACTCCAGTGTAGAGCTGGGCTCAATTCCAATTACAACCAAAACAAGTGGAGATTTTTTGTCTAAAAACAAAATAGAGGCTTGGGGAACATGGATCAATGGAAAATTGACAAGAGGAGACTTCAAGTCTGGAAGGATTCTGGCTGAACTGACCTGATGGTATCCTTACCAGAGGCAGGCAGTTAGGCAGTCAGCCATCACCTTGGGATGGTGGAGGTGAGGAGTTTAATCAGATGTCAGGTATCAGGGGTAAGGAATTCTCTCCTAAACCTTCTTAATAGTACTCCTATTAAAACTCCATTATGCAGAGAAGTACATGACAGGCCTTGTTGGGTAGAAGGCCCAAGAGAGCATGGTTAAAGTTTGGTCAAGCAAAGAATCTTGATTGGTGTCTTGACTTGGCTTCTTGGAGTTTTCTGGATCTCTGTTTCAATGTCTTTTGTAATTTTTAGAAAACTTTGAGCCATCATATCTTCAAGTATTCATTCTGACCTATTTGTTTCCTACTTCTGGGCCTCAATCACGTGTGCTAGTGTGCTTGATAGCACTCAGGCTCTTGGATACTGTTTTCTGTTTGTTTATGTGTTTGTGTTCCATTGTGGGTCATTTTACTGGCCTATCAAATTTCATGGTTTCCTTCCTCATAGAGTTGACTAATTATCCCACTGAAGAAAGTCTTCACATCTTTTGCCATGCTTTCTCGTATCTATGATTTCCTTTTTATCTTTTTCACACAACTTCTTTCTCTCTGCTGAAATTCCCCCTGTATTCAGGCATGTTGCCAGCTTTTCCACTAGAGGATATGTTAGTGATATATCCATTTATTTAATTATTAGTTTATTTACTTATTTATTTCTTTCTTTCTTATTTTTAAGATGGGGTTTCACCATGATGGCCAGGCTGGTCTTGAACTCCTGACCTCAGGTGATCCACCCACCTTGGCCTCCCAAAGTGTTAGGATTACAGGCGTGAGCCACAGCGCCCGGCCTACTTATTTTTTTTAACTATTTACTTGTAAATCTTTATTTATCTGTATCTTTATCATAAAGAATCTGTCTCCCTTTTTTGGTGTTTGACTGTTGACAGCTTCTGAGCTCCAGCCCTCCCTCTTTCCCTCTGCCTAACATTGGGCCTGGGGATAAGAAAGCCCAGGGTTTCCCTCCTCTGGTGCTTGCAGGAGATGGAAGCCATGTAAGCCCTTCCTGTGCACAGGCATCTTCCCCGGGGGCCATCCCCTGCCACCGTGAATCCTCAGGACTCTTCCAGCTCTCTCAAGCTAATTTTGGGCCTGCATGGGAGATCTGTCCTGATCTCCCCAGAATGCCTCATTATGTGGGTAAAATCAACCTTTTAACACTCTCCTGTGGCATGTGTTTGCCTCATTAGTTTCCACATGGGAACCAAACTTGGGGTGAGAATCCACCGTCCATAGAGAGTGGCCAGGACAATCTGACAGCAAGTTGCAATATTGGAGTCATCTCTGAGTCTGGTCCTGTTGATTACTGTGTCTGCTGACAGTGGTGTGTGCTGGGGTGTGTGTGTCGGGGTGTGTGTGTGTGTGGGTGTGCGTGTCAGTCTCATCATCTCTGAGTCTGGTCCTGTTGATTACTGTGTCTGCTGACAGTGGGGTGTGTGTCGGTGTGTGTGTGTGTGTCGGTGTGTGTGTGTCGGGGTGTGTGTGTCAGTGTGTGTGTCAGTGTGTGTGTCGGTGTGTGTGTGTGTCGGTGTGTGTGTCGGTGTGTGTGTGTGTCTCGGTGTGTGTGTGTGTGTGTCGGTGTGTGTGTGTCGGTGTGTGTGTCGGTGTGTGTGTCGGTGTGTGTGTGTGTCAGTGTGTGTCTGTGTGTGTGCGCGCGCGCGTCAGCCTCATCCTCTCTGAACGCCACACACCCTGCCCAGAGCAGCAGCGCTGGGGCTCCCGTGCCGGTGCCCGGCCTTCGGCCCCCTCCTCTCAGGCCTCGCGTGGTGCTGAGCCGTCCCGCTCAGAGCCGAGCCGGGCCTGAGCCGCGGCGTCCATGGCGCCCTTCCGGGCAGCACCGGCTCCGGCGCCTCCGGCGTGACCTCAGGTGACCTCGCGCGGCGCCGTCTTCCCCTTCCCGGTGCGCCCGCGCCCCCCGGCGGCCCCGGGGCTCCTTCTCCTCGGCCGCCTGTGCCCGGCGGTCTCCGGGGGCTGCGCGCCGAGGGCGGGCGGACTCGGTTCCCCGCGCAGCCCCGTCGGAGAGGCCGCGTGGCGGGGACCGCGGTCCAGGCGTTCTCGGCGACCGGCGCCGCCTCCCACCGCAGCCGCCCGAGTGCGCGGCGGGTCCCGCGGGGCCGGGGGGGACCCTCGGGGTCGGGGTGCGGCCGTTTCCCGCGTCTCCGCCCGCCGGGCCCCGGGGCAGGGGACGCGCTCCCGGCGCACTGGGCGGCGGCCTCCCCGCCGGGCCGCGCGGGGTCGGGCTGTGCGGAGCGCGGGGTCCGAGTCCTCCCGGCCTGCGGCGCCCCGTCCGCGCGCGGCACACGCGGGGTCCGAGCGCTCCCCGCCCGCGGCGCCGCCTCCCCCGCGCCCGCCCCGCCCCAGCCCGGGCTCCCGCCGGGCCCCGGCCGTTCCGCGCCGTCCGGGCTGCTCGGCCGCGCGGACTCGGCCCCTCGGCGGCTTCGGAGCTTCACCTGGCGGCCGCGCGGGCCGTGTCGCCGCCGGGCTGGAGGGACGCCGCGGGGCTCCGCCGTCCCCGGCCGGCCTCGGGTGTCCGCGCCCGCCCCGCGGAGGCCGTTTCCGGGACGGGGAGGCTGACGGTCGCCGTCCCGAGTGCGGAGGCTCCGCGGACCGGCGGGGGGACTCGGCCTTGTCCCGGGCCCTTCTCACCCTGAGCTGTCCCGTGTGCGACATAGAAGCGCCATCTTTCCCCTTTTGTGACTTGGAAGCTTTGGAGGATCAAGTGAGTCTAAGGTATGAAAAGTTCCCTGTTAAACTCTCAAGTTGAGCTGTGAGTTAATCACTCTGCACATGTCAGTGGTTCCTGTGATTTTCTTCCATGTAGGAAGTAAAAGTCTGGAGAGAATGACTTTTACAGGAATCCAGATCTTACCCGTCCCTTCAGAACGCGGGTCGGTGTTTTAAGCACCTTCCTTTACATTTGTTTTTGCATTCATTCCACATACGCACTGAAACCTTTCTTGATAAAACACCAATTTGAGGAGTTCACGGATCCCTGACTGAAGCTACAAGCTTCTTCTCTGAGACCTAAGTGTTTTTTTGAGGAAGGACGTGAATAAATAATTAAATCAGTGACAGGCAGGGGTGCTGTGGCTGCTCAGTGCGAGGCAGTGTCTGGGGGTCTCCCGCTGAAGGTGGACGGATGGTGGAGGTTGCTCTGCAGAGGGAGAAGGATGGGATGCAGGATGGGACCCTTGGAGGCCCAGGGAGGTCTCTGAGATCCGGGGGAGGAGGGGAGAACACTGGCAGGCTGTCTGCTGTCTTCAATGGTGATCAGCTTCCTCAGGACTGGACGAGGTCCCGGTGGACTGAGCCATCTGGTGGGCACAGGGAACCAGTCATTCAGAGTAGGAAATTATCCCACTGCTCTAATCTGGGGCTATTACAGAAAATAAAGAGTGAACCATTATAGTTTTGGCAAATAGTGGATAGCATGCAAGAGAGATTCAGCTGCAAAGGTGAGAGTTACCACTGGATCCATGTCCATGTGACCAGGGCTAAGACCCATGATTGCCACATGTCCCACCCCATACTGGCGAGCCTGTGTCCAGGGTGACATGTATTCAGCAGCCAGTGTGGCACAGGCAACCACTGTATGACATCTCTCCACTGCCAGGATGTCCTGGCACCCCCCACATGCCTGTCTGTCTCACTCTTTTGCACCCCAAAGAAGAGAGAGGACCAACGGTTCCCCACTTAATTACACCATGTCAGAGCTTTCTGGAGGCAGGAGCATCTTCACTGGAGATACATCTTCTAGTGACAAAAACACTGAAATGCCTTCCTGAAAATTCTCAGTAAAAAGTGAGGATTCAGGCCACTATTTAACAGCAAAAGAGTCAGGTTCTGGGACAGCTGGAGGCAGTGGTGGTAACTGGAATAACTTTCCAAAGGGAAGCTGTTTTGCGAACGGTCCTTTCCAGTAGAGATGGCCAATATGCTTTCGAACAGTGCCAGACTGGCTTCCTATTGCCCAGGATTTTGCTCTTTAGTTAAAAGGGTTGTCAACTGCAAAGACTTTTCAACTGCAGGATCATCGGGTTCTGAAGAGTCTCATGTGGCCTCTGCACCTCCAGATACATGCTTTCAAACACTGTGGCCTGATGAAAGTATGGGACCATTTGGACCTCAACATAGAGGTTCCAGCTTCCTGGGAACATAGGTTTTGATTGTCACCTCAATGGGACTGGTTCACTGAAGAAAGCCTGGTTCATAAAACTTTGCCTGATATTCTAGCAGAACCTTTATCAGGTGAAAGACAAGTTTGTGATGGCACAACATGTGAATGAATTTTATGGTAATGAGGCACCTGTTGAACACAAAATTAACAGCACAGAAACTTTGAAAGTGCCAGAGTAGAGTGTGCAATACAGATATGCCCAGAATTGCTGCAAGAGATTTTGAATCACTGCTTCCAGAAGTTGCTAATAGCAAACTAATGATTCTGACTGTAACACAGAAAACTAAGGATGATATGATTGGTTAGAACGAAGAAGTAGCAATTGAGAGAGAAGTTCTTTTAGACAGTGGTGCCAAGGAAATTTGCTATGCTCTTCAAGCTGAGGGATACTGGGCTGACTTTATTGATCCATCATCTGGTTTGACATTTTTTGGGCCATATACAAACAACAATCTTTTTGAGACAGATGAAGGCTACTGACATTTAGGATTCTCTGTCAATGACCTTGAATGCTGTAAAGTGATTTGTCGTAGTCTCTGGGGTGTCCATGTAGTTGTGGGAAGTGTCTTCACTAATGCAACACCAGACAGCAGTATTATGAAGAAATCAAGTGGAAATTATCACCAATGTTCATTTATTTGCTGCATTATTTTTATGTAATATTTGGGTTGTACTATAAAGACTGTGAGACTAAAGTTTTTAAAAGATACTTATTTCTAAGTATTTATTTCAACATTTATGAATTCACAACATTGGCAAATGATTTGTGATTTTAAAATTGCAAACGTTTATTATTCATATTATCATTGAATACATGTTGAGCATATCCACATTGTATAGAATGTGGTAATTAGCCTGTAACCAGGGTATGATCTACTATGGTTATTTCTCCCCTTTATTGGTAAAAAGCCTCAGTATTAATTTCTTTCAAAAATAAATCACACGTTTGGTTATGAAAAAAAGGTAAGGATTCCTGAGTCAGAATTCTGAAACCTGCATACTGTGGCTGACATTGTACTAGTATCACTCATTCCTCATTTGCAAGTATGCATGATGCGTGTGAAAATCCCATCTTCCCAAGACAGGTGTGACAAGATTGATCTGTCTCATTGTGGGAGAGTTTCAGGTACAAAGTATATGACAAAATCCTGGTTCCATTTCAGCACAGAGCAGGTTGAACACGTGGCCATGGGAGGATTTAGAAGGGAAGAAACGTTCAGGAATTTCTGAGACAAAAGTGCAGAAAAGAGGAGACCCATCTACATGCATATCTATTTCTGTGTGAATATGAAGTCTGTTGAGGGGCATCAGACTATTCAGAGAAGCAGTGATACTTTTTAAGACGGCAATGTACACCGCTTGCCCTCACTGTGTCCTTGGGCACAGCAATGAGTGGGAAAGGGACTCGGATGTCCTGTGATTTCCTTCCTTGCTGGGCTCATGCCACTGCTCCTTAATCTGTCCTCCATATAATTGTTAAATTATTTCCTTTAAGAGCCCTCAATAAATTGTTTTACCATCTTTAAAACATGCATTTCCTACATCACTTGTAAAAAATAGAAAGGAAAGAAATGGGACCGATGACAGGTGATGTCACTCAGTCCTCCAGTTGCTGGGCTTCTTATTAACCTTTTGCACGGTGCTGAACTTCAGGCTGAGTTATGGATGCCGGTTCCTCACTCTGGACCTATTATATCCACTGTTTTATTTCGGTGCCCACACCTATTTTATGAGTGAAAAGCAAGGACAGAATTAGGATGACGCTCTCTGTATTGCAGCTGGAGGTGGAATGGGGTTTTACACAGAATCCATCGTGTGAGATGTCTGTTGCTTGGTATCACTTGGTATATCAGGAAACTTCATGTGGGTTCAACTGGCTCCAAGTTTCTCAGTCCATGATTCCTAGCTGGGCTTCAGCGAGTTTTTGGCCTCTTATAGAGAAGCACCTGGGTTGCAGTGGATTTGAGCATTTTTGTAGGAATTGGAGTGGAAGTGCAGCCACTTGCATTTCTGAATGGCTACATGAAGCCCAAGGTGAAACCAATTTTACTACTGGTGGAGAATGATCATCTCAGACCACATCCCTCAAGGGCTGCCCAACTTCCTCCAACATTCCAAGTTACCTCCTTCACTTTGTGCACATGAGAGCTACCTGGGCCTGGCTGGGGTCAGGGAGATGGGTTGTCATGGGCACAGCTCTGAGGTCTCCCTTAAGCCTGCAGCCCCCATATCTGTCTGCTCTGCTCACTCCCCGCGGCCTCCAGGCTGTCATCTGTTGTTTGAGGTTGGAGTTCCTCATTTTCTGGGTTGCCAGGCAGGGTGTCAGTCCATTGAGCCAGGAGCAGATCCCCCAGTACAGGATGGCAGTTTCTCATGACATCAAGGGACTGGCCTGGCTTCGAAGGCATGGCTGGCAATGGCGGGGCTGTGTTTGTGGGACATGGAAGCTGGGGCATGGGGAGCCCTTCACGAGGCATGTTCCAGTTGCTCTGATGAGAGGTGACAGGGTCACACCAGGGGAATGGGAGTAGGAGGGTGTGTCAGGGAGGGTGAAGAGCAAGAGAAGAGTTACATTGGAGGGAGAGAAGGGCTTTGTGGCTCAGGCATCTGAAAGGTCAGGAAGAGCCATGTAGAGTGAGAGGGACAAAGAGGAGAGGCTGTCTCCATCCATGCGACCCCTGATGGAGAACAGAATTGCACCATAGGTGCCTGGGCAGGGACCATTGCAAAAGGAAGTCAGCTTAGGGGAGCCTGTGGCTGAAGAATGATTCCAGCATGGGGGTACAGAGGCTAACATTTCTTGCTGTGGGTGATTTAATGTTGGGCCTCAGTATTTCACCTCCCCACCCCTGGAAGAGCATGACACATCCACATCCTCACCAGGGCCCGAGGGAGGGTAGATGGACTTATCCATCCCAGAGGTGTTGCTCGTGGCTGGGCGACTTGCTTATGCCAACGAGACTTTAACAGACATGGCACAAGCAGAAGCCTGAACTGTGTGGGCCCTGCTAGGCCTGCCCTCTAATGCTCTTGATTTTTCCCATGGGATGGGCATGCCCCAGAGAACCATGGCTCCAGCTGCAGGAGGAGAGGCGTGTGGAGCACACGTGGTTCCAACCCTCAGCCCGGAGCCAAGCCCGGACTAGATCAGCCTAAGCCAAGCCAAGCCGCAGGTGCAGGAGTGAAAAGCAAATGCTGACTGCCTGTGACATTGACTTTCAAAGGGGCGTGTCCTGTGATGCACCTCAACCCAACAACAATGAAGGTATTTCTCTGTCAGTCAGATGGGAAATAATTATCTACAACATGCTGGGGAGGTGGAGTGATTTGAGTAGATTTGCTCCCTGCTTTCAAGTGGTGTCTTTTCCAGAGGGGCAGACAGAGGATGGATACATACATGTAAATTATTCTATTGGCTGGTGCAGCAGTCATTGCAGTTTTTGCCATTAATAGCAATGGGGGAAGAAAAAGCAGGGAGGAGCCGGTGCTGCAGTTCATTAAAAGTAATGGGAAAACTTCGATGACTTCTGCATCAACTAATAGAATAATCACA